TAGAGATGGGGTTTCGCTATGTTGGCCAGACTGGTCTTGAACTGACCTCAGATAATCCACCTGCCTAGAGGCCTTCCAAAGTGCTGGGATTACAAGTGTGAGCCACCATGCCTGGCCTCATCCTCAAAAAAGAATGTTTCAAAATTTTGTGTGGGTTTTTTTTTTTTTTTAAGTAGAGGAATAACACTTTATTAAAATGCCACTATATATGTTCTAACAAATACCTCAATTTCACAATTAAATGGATGTGGGGAGAGAGAGGGAGGGAGGGAGAGAGAGAGACAGAAGGAGGGAGGTGGGGGGAGAGAGAGAGAGAGAGAGAGAGAGAAGAGAGAAAGATATCTCTGGTGTCCCTTCCTTTTCAGATGAAGACCCCAGTCCTAACAGATTAGGGCCTCACGCTTTTGCCACCATGTTAACCTTTACCTTCTTCTTCTTTCTTCTTTTTTTTTTCAGATGGAGTCTTGCTCTGTCGCCCAGGCTGGAGTGCAGTGGCGCAATCTTGGCTCACTGCAAGCTTTTCCTCCCGGGTTCATGCCGTTCTCCTTCCTCAGCCTCCTGAGTATCTGGGACTACAGGTGCCGCCACCACCCCCGGCTAATTGTTTGTATTTTTAGTAGAGACCAGGTTTCACAGCGTTAGCCAGGATGGTCTCCATCTCCTGACTTCATGTTCCGCCCACCTCGGCCTCCTGAAACGCTGGGATTACAGGCGAGAGCCACCACTTTACCTTCTTAAAAGCTCCTTCTCCAAATACAGTCACTTTGGGAGATAGAGCTTCAGGTTAGGAAATCTGGGGGGACAAAATTGTCTCCAAAAAAGACACTAATATGAGTGCTCAGATTGCTGGTGAATATGTTCATGTTACAATTATTTTTGCTTCACAGTTTTAGATAATGAATACTTGGATAATATCTGCTGTATTCTAATTTTTTCAACACTTCTTACTTGCATGGATTGTAAACAGAAGTCCAATGTAATTATTATGTCTGTTTCTCTGTAGGCAACGTGTTTGTTCCTCTGCCTTTTTAAAATATTTTATCTTTTTTATAGGTTTTCTACAGTTTGAATATGATATACCTAGGTATATTTTTAAAATATTCATCCTGCTTAGTGTTCTCTGAGCTTTTTGGATATGTAATTTGGTGTCTGTCATTAATTTGTGGTTTTTTCCTAGTTAAAAAATGAACTTTATAGATTTTACATTCTCAATTTTTACTTATTTTCAAAATGAGAGACAAGACACCTAAACTCCAAGATTTCAGTCCTGAATGCAATAGTACCAGATTTCCAAGTTACTTGAGTGAGCTGCATAAACACTACTATTTCAAGTTTACCCTATAAGAAACACATGGACATACTTGAGTGGTTTAACCACAGTGTCATATCAATAAACATCAAAGTATCTGGCATGTATTTGTCCATTGAAGGTAAACACAACTCTGAGTATCAAATTAAATTAATCATTTGCCTTTTATAATCTAAATTGGAAACTGAAAAACCGGAAGAATGTATAGGTAAGTAACTGAAAACGCTCCACTTACTGCACACAAGCCCATCATGACAAAGAATGCTAGAAGTAGCTTTCCTCAGAATAATTGAACATTTGAAATACTATTTTACCAGAAAAGTTAAAGCTTTTAATGTGAAAATCATGGTAAATGACATTTACCATGACATAAGTTAAATGACATTTTAACTTAATAGTAATAGTTAAGTATCTAGCAAATTACAGATTTTGAGCAATTAGTTACCCACATTTCACCAGGACCTTCAGTGAAAGTGTCTGCTCTCAACATTTGACCAGAACCTTCCAGTTCTGAAGTGTCTACTCTTTAGAGTTGCTTTAGCTTTACATATCTGTAAAACCTAAGATTCCTCAATGAGAAGTTATAGTTTATTCTGTACTAGATACATGTAGTATATACATAGATTTAGAACAAATGGATGCTTTTTACCTTCAGAGAAAGTATTTTCATTTATACAACATTAGATTTTTTTCACCCATGTGTAGGCGTGGAAGTGTTTTCCAAATGCACAGGGTCCACTTCCATAATTCTAAAGCAAAAATAGAGGCACACTAATGGATGATAATTTATAGTTGTATGCATTTTTTACCTATGTTTAAAGAAATTCAATTGCCATTTAGACAGAGATGTGACGAACTTGTAACACATTTCTATGACTTGGAAAAATAAAGGTCTAAAAATGTCATAGCTCTGGGCAATTTGCAATTTGTGCATGGGTTCACTCACCCTATGGTCCATGAATCCCTTATCCTGGCAGCTGGGGGTAATTTCAGCAAATATGAGACTCAAAAGACTAAGGAAGAAGGGCTCATTTAAATCAGTTCCCCTAAAAGTTGATTCTAATCTTGCAACGAACAGTTTTAATATACTTGTGAGTTAATTTTTAAAGTAATTATAAAGCCATTTACTCTATCATAAATGAATGAAATGTAATTCAGAACCACACTTGAAACAAGTCCTTCATTTTAATGAATGGTATCTTTCATTTATATACAAAGGAATTCAATTGCCAGCAGCATTTAAATATAGAAATAGTCCCATCTTTTCTCTAGTCTCTTTTATAAAGTAGTGCCATTTTTAAATAGGTGTATTTGTTACCCAGCTTTTCAGTAACTACACTATGGGTATCTAATAAATTCAATAAAAGATTGGAAAATTGAAAAGATTTAGCACTTTAAACATTTGAAAAATGTTGCTACAAAGCATAGATTATGAATGCATTAGTAAAATAAATTCACACCTTATGTGAGAATCATTAAGTTGGTTTAATAATTATATCACAGAAGTATGGGCGCATTAATATCTATGCCAATTTATGCTAAATAAATGAGAAAGTTTCTGTAGGTAATTCAGCTCTAAGCACCATTAAATACGGTTATGCCAAACAGAACCAATGGTTATGTAATACCCAGAATATAAACCTCAGCAAATTCACACTTTTAGAATGACAACACAAGTGAGAGTTAGAATGAGACACAATATTTTATTTAAAAGTACCATAGGCTGCTAAGAGTATTCTTTTCTTTAAATAAAAATTTGTGTGGTTGTTAATAATGTACCTTAACACTGGTCCTCCTTGACAGCGGTGTTAGAGATGGTTAGGTGGAACCCATATTACGGAAGTCAGAGTTGCCCATTTCTTTAGTTCAGTGATTAAAAGTGAAATTGCTTTTACAGAACAATTGAACTGCTGCTTACAATGTAAATAGAATACCAACAAGATTCCTGTTGTATTCACATTATTCTCTAATTAGTATTTTTGCATTTCAACTCTGACCTGACCTTGAGTAGTTCCTTTATTTTTATTTTCAAACATTTTTGTGAGTATATAATAGGCATATATATTTACTGGGTGCGTGAGATGTTTTGATGCAGGCACGCAATGTGAATTCATCATATCATGGAGAGCAGGGTATCCATCCCTTCAAGCACATATCTTTTGTGTTATAATCCAATTACTTTCTTTTAGTTGTTTTTAAATGTACAATTATTGACTAGAGTCCCCCTGTTGTGGTATCAAAGAGTATGTCTTATTCATTCCTTCTGACTATTTTTGTACCCATTACCCATCCCCTGCCTTCCCCTGCCAACCCCCTATTAACTAATATGTCCATGAGTTCAATTGTTTTGATTTTTTAGATCCCACAAGTAAGTGAGAACATGCAATGTCAGCCTTTCTGTGCCTGGCTTATTTCCCTTAACAGAATGATCTCCAGTTCCTTCCACGTTGTTGCAAATGACTGAAGCTCATTCTTTTTTATGGCTGAATAATACTCCACTGTGTATATCTACCACATTTTCTTTAATACATAAATTTGTTGATGGACACTTAGATTGCTTCCAAATCTTAGCTATTGTTAACAGTGGTGCAACCAACAAGGAAGTGCAGATATTTCTTAGATATAGTCATTTCCTATTTTGGGGGTATATACCCAGCAGTGGGATGGCTGGATCATGTGGTACCTCTATTTTCAGTGTTTAGAGGAACCTCCAAACTGCTCTCCCCCATGGCTGTACCAGTAGTACCTTAAAATGCAAATGCAATTGGTAAAAAAAACAAGGCAGCATGTAGTATTTTGCACTTACAAATACTATCAGTTTCATAACAATCTGCATTTTTTTTTTTTTTTTGTCCTTGGAATAGTAACCACTTAATAAAACAGATACATAAAAGCGCAATATTCCTTCCTTTGCATGGCATCCAGGAATGGTGAAAGCAAAGAAACAGTCATCCCTTCTCTTCCCCCCACTTCTAGTCTCCCGAAATAGGGACGCCAGGTCAGACAGGTGGAGGAGAGAAATGGGGCACAGGGTAAGATATGATGAATCTCTTAAAAAGAAATCCACTTTCCCCAGAATGCTAGCCTGATGGGAACTCCGCCCCATCCATTCCAACCTAGTAAGGATAATTTAGTTTGTATTTTCTGGTCTCACTTCCTTACATCTAGTGTTCTTTTTTCGTTTCTGTTATTAAATTTCAGAAGACAAACCTTAGCATTTTCTAAAAGAAATTATTTTTACCTAAATACATTGGACTTTGGTCTTAATTTGAAGGACTAGGATAAGCGGCCTTTAGGAGAGCGTTCCTCCTCCTCCTCTTCCCGTGGCTGCTCTGGGTCCCTGAAAGAGGGTGTGATGCGAACCATCTGGGTTGTGAAGTGGATTTTGTTGAGCCTGTGTTTTTTAAGTCCATTAGTCCTGCCCGAGGCTGCGTGCCCTGGAATCCTTGGTTTCGCCTCTGGACCACCTTCAGCCAAGTGGTGACGGTGAAGAGGGGCCCCCCGTCCTCCAGGATGTGTGAGAGTTTGTAGGTGATGAGATGGAGGGGGCACCTTTCAAACCTTCCAGCACCCACCCCCGCTGCTGGCGGTGCTCTCCCCGTCGTCCTCGTCCAGGACTCCCAGCAGGTTCTCGGATCTCCTCTGTGATGCTCTAACTCACCTACTGGGAGGCCCTTTTCCCATGTAGTCCCTAATGTCCACATCGGCGTCCTAGGTCCCCACCAGCCGCGTCACCATCTCCAAGGTACGTGGCTGCCACGTGCAGGGCGGTGCAGCCCCGCTGGTCCCGGCCTTGCTGTTCCCAGGCCGCGGAGCCTCCTTGGGGAAGTGACCAGCTCGGCCAGAAGCTCCCGCCCGCGGTGCCCGGCGCCCGCGCAGGCAGGTGCGGCGGTGATGCAGCCCAGCGTGGCCGGCGGCCGGCACAGGAAAAACCCTCTAAGCTGTCGCTCCCCATCGAAGGCCGAGCGCCGCCAGCCGTGCTCCCGGGTCCGGCTCACCCAGCCCCGCCGCTCGCCCGCTCCGCAGACGGGAGGCAGCGCGGGGCCGCCGGAGTCTCTGGCCTCTGGCGTGTCCTCCTCGGAGCAGCCCCGGCCGCTGCCTCCAGGACACACGCTCCCCTTCAGGGGCCGGCGCTGCCCCTTCTCAAGTCGCGCAAGCTCCGGCCGAACGGCCTCGGGGCGGCGGCTCTGGGGGGCAGCCGCGGGCGGGGCTCCAGGTCCTCGCGGGTCCAGGTCCCCGTCTGGGGCAGGCGCTGGTGGAGCCGGGAGCCCCTCCTGCGTCCCCGCCGCTCAGGGCGGCCCGTGCGGGGACCGGGTTCCCTCGCCCAGCTGGGCCCTTCCGTGGCGCGCCTCGGGACGCTGTTTCGCGGAGGGCGCGGCGGCTCCTGCGCTCCGTGGTCCGTGGACGCGGGACAGGTCCCGGGGGAGGCCCCGCCAGACCCTCTTCCTGAGACGCAGGTACTCAGTGGCCACAGCGTCCACCCGGAGATGCATTTAAACAGTTTTATTCTCCTGTTTATTCTTATTTTTATTTTTTTTCATTCCAGAAACCATTACTACTATGCAAAAAAGTAAACATATCTAGTTTAAATAATGATTTGATACGGTCAGGCGGGGATGAGTGCACACGTGTGTGTACACACACACAGGCTCTGAACGGGATATTTTGGCGGAGCAGAGGGATAAGGCTTTTATTTTGTTGTTGTGTTGAGTTAGAATCTCCCTTCTCATAATTAAATAATGTAAATCAGGAGTTTTGTTAAAGCTAATTTGTACAGCTAGGCAACATCTTTTCCCCATATATTTATACATATACACTCATCTCTAATATTTGCACTTATTACTTCGTCTAAAAGAGCTTGGGAAAAGGGTCCTAAGTCCTTGGCTAGGTTAAGGTAAACATCTATATTTTAAAATAACAAAAACATTTGCTATAGACAGAGACATACAGACACTGTGGGTGAAGCTGATTGATGTTCCGTTGAAGGAAATGACATGGGGTTTTCTGAGGGAAAGCCCAGCATGCTACAAGGAGAGGGGAGGTCCCGGGAGGGAACTGTAGTCAGCATTAGGGTCTAAGTGTCAAACAACCAAAAACAAGTAAAAAATGGCAGTAGTATGTTTTCACCTGTTAGTGATAACCCTGAATATCAATGAATTAAATTAAATTAAGTAAGAGTGGCTGAATGGATTAAAAGACAGGACCCAATTATATACTGCCTACAAGAAACTCAGCTCACCTGTGAAGACTTCCATAGACAAAGTGAAGGGATGATGAAAGATATCCCACACAAATGGAAACAGAAAAGCAGGAGTAGTTATACTTAGATAAAATAGAATTTAAGTCAAAAAAAGAAAAAATAAAAATAAGTATATAATCAGAAAGAAATCAACAGCAGTCTAACAAATAAAAGTGCATATGCAAGCAACACTCAAGCACTAAATACAGAAGCAAATATTAACAGACCTTAAAGGACAAATGGACTGCAATATAATAATAGAGAACCTCCACACTCCCCTGTAACCAACACCCCACTATCGTCAATGAACAGATCATCCAGACAACAAAATATCATCAGTTAAACTTTATACGAATGGACCTAACAGATATTTACACAGCTTTCCATTCCACAACTGCACAATGCACATTCTACTGAGTAGCACGTGGATTATTCTCCAGGACAGACTATGTGTTAGGCCAAAAAACAAGTCATAACACATTTTTAAAAACTGAATTCATGTCAAGTATCTTTTCTGACCACAGTGGAAGAGTATTATAAATCAATAACAGGAGGAACTTTAAAAACTATACAAATATACGGAAATTAAAATACAAGCTCATGAACAGCCAATAAATAAAAAAAGAAAAGGAAATTAAATATTTATTGAAACAAATACGAATGGAAACACAACATAACAAATCCTGTGGGATTCAGCAAAGGCAGCTGTAAGAGGAAAAATGCATACCTATAAAGGCCTACAAATCAGAAAAGTAGAAAGATCTCAAATAGCCAACCTGACAATACAGCTGCAGTAATGAGTACAACAAGAAAAATCAAATGCTACAATGAGTAGAAAAAATATCTTACAGATTAAAGGAGAAATTGTAAAAATAGAAACAAAAACTACAAAAAGTCAAAGAACAAAGAGCTGGGGTATTTTAGAAAACTCAAAATTGACAAGCTTTAACTAGACTAAGGATAAGAAAAAAATCATAGATGAAAAGGGAGACATTACAGTTGACCCTAACAGTTAGGGTCAGGGTCAGGGTCAGGGTTCAGGGTCAGGGTCAGGGTTCGGGTTCGGGTGTGGGTCAGGGTCATGGTCAGGGTCAGGGTCAGGGTTTAGGGTTTGGGTTAGAGTTAGGATCAGGGTCAGGGTCAGGGTCAGGGTTCGGGTTCGGGTGTGGGTCAGGGTCAGGGTCATGGTCAGGGTCAGGGTCAGGGTTTAGGGTTTGGGTTAGAGTTAGGGTCAGGGTCAGGGTCAGGGTCAGGGTTCGGGTTCAGGTGTGGGTCAGGGTCAGGGTCATGGTCAGGGTCAGGGTCAGGGTCAGGATTTAGGGTTTGGGTTAGAGTTAGGGTCAGGGTCAGGGTTCGGGTTCGGGTGTGGGTCAGGGTCAGGGTCAGGGTTACGGTCAGGGTCAGGGTCAGGGTTTAGGGTTCGGGTTAGAGTTAGGGTCAGGGTCAGGGTCAGGGTTTAGGGTTCGGGTACAGGTTTGGGTGCAGGTTCGGGTTCAGGTTAGGGTATGGGTTAGAGTTCGGGTTCATGTTCGGGTTAGGGGTAGGGGTAGGGGTAGGGTTAGGGTAGGGTTAGGGTTAGGGGTTAGGGTTAGGGTTAGGTTTAGGGTTAGGGGTTAGGGGTTAGGGTTAGCGTTAGGGTTTAGGGTTAGGGTTGGGGTTGGGATTGGGTTTGGGGTTGGATTTAGGGTTGAAGTTGGGGCTAGGGTTGGGTTAGTGTTAGGTTTGGGGTTATGGTTGGGCTTAGGGTTAGGTTAGGGTTAGGAAATTTCTCGACCTGTCGACCTTTGTTATTATCTGAGCCGGAATTAGGAGAGGAGCCTTGTCCTCTCCACACATCCCAGCAGGTACGCCGCCCATGTGCCTGTGGTGTACAGCGGTTCCTGTATGGTCGACAGGGCTGGACCAAGTAGCTGTGAAATTTCTTCTGAAGAAAACGCACAAGGAGGACGTGAGTGAGCTCAGTGGAGGAGGAGCACTTCCCCAGGGGGCGTCCACATACATGGACTTGTGAACCCCAATATCTGAGATGGTCTCAGTCAATTTAGAAAGTTTATTTTGCCAAGGTTGAGGACGCACGCCCGTGACACAGCCTCCGGAGGTCTTGACGACATGTGCCCAAGGTGGTCGGGACACAGCTTGGTTTTATACATTTTAGGGAGACAGGAGACATCAATATGTGTAAGACGAATGTTGGTTCCATCGGGAAAGGCGGGACAAGTTGAAGCAGGGAGGGGATTTCCAGGTCACAGGTAGGTGAGAGACAAACTGTTGTATTCTTTTGGGTTTCTGAATAGCCTCTCCAAAGGAGGCCATCAGATATGCACTTATCTCAGTGAGCAGAGGGGTGACTTTGACTAGAAGGGGAGGGGAGGCAGGTTTGCCCTAAGCAGTTCCCAGCTTTTTTCCCTTTAGTTTAGTGATTTTTGGGCCCTCAGATTCATTTTCCTTTCACAGGCTAAACAGCTTTAGGAACTGAAAGGTTCATGAAGCTGTAAGGAAGAGTCGAGTTGCTCCAGGTGAGCCTGGGCCACAACAGCATGCAGGACCTGGGCGCCCATGAGGGGCTCCTGGGAGGGTTCGGGAAAGGGAGCTGTGAACCCTGACTATCTGAGATGGTTTCAGGTGATTCAGAAAGTTCATTTTGCCGAGGTTGAGGACGTGCACCCGTGACAGCCTCAGGAGATCCTGACGACAAGTGCCCGAGGTGGTCGGGGCACAGCTCGGTTTTAGGGAGACATGAGACGTCAGTCAATACATGTCGGAAGTACCTTGCTTCCATCCAGAAAGGTGGGGACAACTGGAAGCAGGGAGGGGGCTTCCAAGGTCACAGGTAGGTGAGAGACAAACGTTGCGTTGTTTTGAGTTTCTGGTTAGCCTCTCCAAAGGAGGCGATCGGATGTGCACCTATCTTAGTGAGGAGATAGGTGATTTGGAATAGAATGGGAGGCAGGTTTGCCCTGAGCCGTTCCCAGCTTGACTTTTCCCTTTAGCTTAGTCATCTTGGGGCCCCTAGATGTTCTTTTCACAGAGCCTATGACTAGATTTGCATTTTTCGATCCTGCGAGGAGGCTGCTGCACACATGCAGAAGTCACGCTGGCGGCCTGGACTCCGAAGGGAGAGAAGTGGATTTGAGAGACATTTAGGAGGTAGGATTGCCAGGGCCTTGGTGATAGCTTGGATGTGGAGGGCGGAGCAGGAGGGGTGTCAAGCAGATATTGTTCTTAGATTACCACCTGGGATATTAGGGACAGTGAGTGGGCTGTTTTTTCTTTGTTAGGCAGAACTTGGTTTTGTGGTGCAGTAGGGTGCCTCAAACCAAAGGCCTGACTTCCTCGTACAGGCCAGACCCCACATGGCCGTTCCTGTCACTGCCAGGCCGCTTTGAGGCTGAGAGAGATGGTTTTGTCTGGCCTCTGCCCTGCACGTGTTTCCGAATGACTTCTCTGTGTTGGCAGATTTGGGGGTCCACCAGATAGGATCCTGTGAAGAGACCTCAAAGGTCTTTAGTTCAATTTATAAAACATCTTTTTGTTCATTATATCATTTCCACAATCAAAGATGAATAAAATACACAGAGGTTTATTTAGTGAATAAGGTTGATGGTGCACCTGTGCTAGGCAGTGTTTTAGTTCGTTGAGACACCAAGGAGTTGAGACAATCCTTTACCTTGGAGTTTTGTGTCTGTAAGTCCTGCTGTTGAGAGCTGTGTGTGTTAAAATGTCTGATTTGGGCAGGTGAGATCTGGGCCGTCTATAAGGTTAGGTGAGAGGAGGTTGGTGTCCATCTGAAGTATCCAGTGCCCCATCAACATCCCAGTTCTTGTCCACCAGTCTTCCAGTTCTAGGACTGATGCGGAGGCCCTCAGAGCGACTTCAGAGGAGAAGTAGTGTGCTCTGTGGCTGTCTGTTTTGGGAGTGTAAATTGTAAATCTTCTGCAAACAAGAAGTTGGAAACAAGTAGCGTTTCAGCTTGAGTTTCTTGTAAATGGCTTGCAGTCGTATGAACCAGAGCATGTACACCACAGGGCAACACGAGGGTCCCTCTATCACCATTTCTCCCAGTGGCCTAGGTGGGGATTTAAACAGAATAATGTGTGCAGCCTCCTTGTGTGAAAGTCCAGTACTTTGTGCTCGGAGTGTCATCAGGGAAGGGCCCCGACTTTGAAGGCTGCTGCGTCTCGCTCTGTGATAGGAGGCACAACGTGGCCTTGGTCTTATGAAGACCTTGGGTGCCACAGCTCCCTTCAGCCCTGATCAGCCTGATGCAGGCGCTGGGCCCTGGTTCTGGAGGTGAGAATACACCTTGGGCCTCCACTGCATGGCTGCCCTGTGAGCATTCGGGTGCTTATTTGGGGACTGATACGGAGTCCTGTGCCAGATGCAGTGGTGCACACCTGGGAACCAAGGGTCTCTGCTTCTACTGGAGAATCTGGACAGATGTAAAAGGTGAGAAAGGCTGGGGGTAGGGGTTAGGGTTAAGGTTAGGCTTGGGGCTGGGGTTGGGATTGTGTTTAGGGTTAGGGTTAGGGTTGGGGTTGTGTTTAGGGTTATGATTAGGGTTTAGTGTTAGGGGTTAGGGTTTTAGCATTAGCGTTTTAGGGTTATGGTTAGGGGTTAGGGTTGGGGTTATGGTAAGGTGTTAAAGGTTAGGGTTAAGGTTTAGGGTTAGGGTCGGGGTTAAGGGTAAGGGTTACAGCTTTTAGGGTTAGGGTGCTTGGCAAAATGGGTCCACCCTCTCCCCGATAACCCTGGCTCTAGGCCCTCTGTTATGTCCTGGCCTGCCCCACCAGTCCCCTGGAGCCCCTGCTGACCTAAACTCCACGCTGTATGTTCTTACTTGTAAGTGGGACATAAGCTATGATGATGATTCCAAAGCCTAAGAATGATAAGTGGGCTTTGGGGACTTAGGGGGAAAGGTGAGAGGGAGGTGAGGAATAAAACCCTACACATTGGGTACATTGTACTCTGCTTGGGCTATGGGTGGACAAAAATCTCAGAAACCATCAATAAAGAACTTTAGCATTTAACTAAAACCACCTGTTCCCCAAAACTATTGAAATAAAATAAAATAAAATAAAATAATAACAACAGGTATCTTATTCCTTTGGTAGTCCACATGGCCTAGCTCAAGAATTTACTGAATACTTGTAAAATATAAGAATCAATGGAACACCTGGGTAAGCATAGCTCATGCAGAGATGTCCAGCCATTTCAGAAGTGTTAAGGTTCAAAGCAGTGTTCCCTGTGCAGGCCCTGGGGTACTGCATTTTTGGGGAGGCACTGCCATCTCAAGCCTCCTTGTTTGTGGCTCACGTTCTAACCCTCACACAGCACATGCTTGTCTTTAAAAGCATCAAGGTGAATAAACTACATGTTAATCAAGGTAGAATAAGTGGGCAATTAGATAGCCCACATAATTTAGTTGTATAATAGTAAACTTCTGCTGCATATTTAAAGGAAAATAGACAAGATAATCTTTTTTATAAAAAGTGTAAATTATTCCACTGTTTCTGAATACTCACTGCTAAAACTCCACACTGAAGCACTGCCCAGAATGGTGGCCTGTGAAGCGTTCTCAGTCTGGGACACGTTATTCCTCTTCTGTAAAAACTGCACCACTTTCAGACAGACTCTCAGGCAAAGACACAGAAAATTATCTCATTATTAGATTCGTGATCTTTTAGAGGTTTCCTATCACTGAGGTCATCTGAGCCAGTAGTTTTCAAAATGAGTTAATGGCTTCATATCCTAAAATGTTGCATTTAAATTCTAGTTAAAAATAGTTTACTGTATTTTTCCATTCTAAGACAGATTTTTTTTTTATGCTTTACTTTTTCTGGAATTAACATGCATCTTACAATTGATACACTGCATTAAATATGATGAGATCTCTTCTGTTCTTCTAAAAAATTATCAATACATTTGTGATAAATATTGATTTAATAGCATCTCAGAATTTAAAACATCCAGGTTACAATCATTAAGTCTTCTACAATATTTAGATACAAGAAGGTCATATTTCTTTCTTTTTATAAGTCAAATTATATCTAGCAGAAACTCACAAGTGTGAAGATATGGAAGATTCCAATTCACGGAGGTTCCTCGTCATATTCTGTGCCAGACACTGGAGGCAGGTATGGTGGCACTTCATGCTCCTCACCTTCCGGTCTCACTACTTTTCCTGTGACTGCCGACTGCTGGCCCTTTACTCTGAAGGGGGTGAGAAGACCACTGCCCCTGGCACTGGGGAGGGGATGCTCCTCACAGCACAAGAAGTGCCAGGAAGGCAGCCGTCACATGCCGGAACCTTGGCCACACCAACCACATCTGGGGAATTGCATGTGACTAGGGCCTAGCCCATTAGGAATGCTACTGTTCTGGGAACATCTCCCTGGCATCCTCATTTTGTTTTCCCATTGGCTAGTCCAGCTTAACCCTTAGATGATTCTAGATCTCCCTAGAAAATGCCTAGGTGAGAGTTATCCAGGCAAATTCTCTTTTCCTCCTTTAAAACCATAAAGGCCATATGCGCGCGTGTGTGTGTGTGTTACAGAGAGGCCTAATCTGCAAAAGCACAGCTTGGCCTTCAGGAAATAGATGGGAAAAGGGAAAAGGGCTGCTTTGTGATTTCCTTGTGCCTTCAAAGCACACACAAAGAAAATATCAGTTAGTACTTTCCCTAGTAATTCCATCTGTAACATTGAGCATTTAAAAGTTGTTATAATACATTTAAATACCATGCCCAGAGAAGCGCATGATAAAATGTAGCATTAATGAAACAATTAAATGTCCCAACTTAACCTGTCTTCTTGTAAGTCATAAAAAAAATTTCTCCCACTATCTCTATGAATATGTTTACCATTTGTGCAAATATACCACTGAATAGAGATAGACAATTTTTATTTTGACAACAATGTACTCCTGAAATTACACACATAAATTCTGCTATAACCTGTGTGCATTGGCAGATGCAGTTAAATGTGAGCCAAGGCCCATTAGTTCATGCGTGTGTTTTTATGATTTTCTCTGCTCCTTTTTTGACTTACATATTTATAAAACAGAATGTGAGAAGAGTTAGCTCTTTGTAGTTATTTAGCTGGAAGACATAGAAAACTGTTCTAGAACCTTTAAAAAGCAGTTGCAGGAATTTTTTTAAAGTCCCTGAAATTACACGTCAAGATATTATTTTAAATTATTATTCTTTGAAACTCCTTTTGTGTATACATCAAGATTTATCAATAACATATAGACAAAGTAGGAAAGTATGGTTACCATATTGTATAATGGCACCTCATGTTGCTTATTTCTTCTATAATTAAGTCATAAATTGAGCTCACAAAAATATTTATATTAATAAAATGATTATCATTGGTAATGTTTGAGTTTTTCTTGTACATTTTTATGTAACAACAAAAAAGTTTTTACTATTAAAAATGGTTTTAAAAAAATTGGAGCAAACCTAACCTTCATTTTATAAATACAATAACCTGAGGCTCATCAGGGCTGGTGACTCTCACAGGCGCACACCTGGCATTGCCAGATATCAGCTCAGGATCCGGAATGACTTTGAACAATTCATGCTAAATTAATAAATGCACTTTAAAATAGGCCCATATGAATCCCAAAGTAACTAAACCCGTGGAATTTGTAAAAGAAGATGTTTATGAATGAGGACGTGGCCTTTCGACATTAGTTCTGATTCTCCCCTTTCTAAAAGAATCTACAGTCTCTATTTTCCCATGACGAGATTTCAGAGGAGAGCCTGGTGGCACTTACAGCAGACATCACAGATGTCTGAGTGTTTCGGTTGAGGACGGTAAAGGCTTTGTTTGTTTCATAAAACCTTTGTTTTCCAGGGGAGAAAACACAGGTTGAGTCTAAAGTCAATCCTCCCAATGAAATAGTTTAATGATGCTGAAAAAGGTTGTTGTGTTTCGCAGGTGCAAGCGGAGCCGTGCAGTCCTGACTTCTGAGTGGAGCTAGAGGAGAATTATGTTAACGTGTTTGCAGTCCTTGCTCAATTTTTAAATATAAATATACTTAAGCACCGCTTTTTATGAGAATAAAATAGTTTAACAATGTTTACGCACCTATTTTAGTTATTACATTCTCTAAGCTATTTTTATCCTCACAACCATGGAAATACTCCACCGTCTCCATTTCAGAAAGTAGACGGTAACTGGACAAAACTGTCCACTTTTAAAAAACATGATTTATTTCATTATGAAAGTTCATAGTTGATGTAATTAATACCTTTTTGTGGTCCTAATTCAATGGGTGTGGGCATCTGCACACTGTCGTGGGTCCACCGTTGTGGTGAAATCACCCACAGTGGTCTCACTGCCCTAAACAGCCGGGGCTCTCTGCCCATCCATCCTTTCCTCTCCCCAACCCCTGTCAACCATTGAGTGTTTTACTATCTTTGTAATTTTCCCTTTTCCAAAATGTCACGTAATTGGAATCATACAATATGTAGCCTTTTTGGCTTCTTTCACTTAGTGGTATGCATCTTGGGTCCCTGTGTGCCTTTTCATGATTAGATAGCTCATTTATTTTCTCACTGAATGATATTCCATTGTCCGTAGGTAACAGAATTTATTTATCCATTCACCTACTGAAGGACATGTTGGTTGCCTCCAGTTTCTGGTAATCCTGAGTAAAGCTCTGAACATTTGTGTGCAAGTTTGTGTGTGGACATGACTCTTGAAGGAATGACAAGGAAAGGTGTATTTGCCTGATCCCAGGAATCCATGTAAACATCCATGATAATCCCACCGTTTTTTTTAAATGTATGATTTGGATGAAACAAGAGAATGAGGCTGACTGTTGCTGAGTCCCTGCTGCAGTCCCGACACAGCTGGAGACACCCTGCTCTCCTGCTTTCCTTATTTTGATGATGCTTATGAGGACCATGTTGTCTGAGGAAGACGGTTCCCATCCAACTCTGCCCCTGGTGTGTCACGTGCCGGCCTTGTCAACACACAGGAGAACCTGACAGGGTGAGTGTTATAACCCCATCTATAGAAAAGGAAACGTCTCTAAAGTCTTTAGCATCTCGCCCGAGTTTGGACACTTAGCAGAGGCCTGAGTTTAGATGCAGCCCCGTCTTGCTCTTTGACAGCCTCAGCACCACATGCCCTGGGTGACCCACGCAGTGAGTCACTGACAGCCCTCGTGGTTGGCCTGTGGCACAGCATGGAGTGGAATGGCCCACTGACCTTTTCAGACATTCAGGCAATTTGTGATAGAGCGTGTGCGGTCACTCCCAGTTAGTTCTTTGTTCAGTTTAATAGAATACCTAATTCTATGTTTCTTATGAATAAAGGGAGATTTCTTGTGGGTTTTTTTTTTTTTTTTGAGACATAGTCTTGCTCTGTTGCCCAGGCTGGAGTGCAGTGGCACGATCTGGCTCACTGCAAGCTCCACCTCCCAGGTTCACGCCATTCTCCTGCCTCAGCCTCCCGAGTAGCTGGGAATACAGGCGTCTGCCACCACGCCTGGCTTTTTTGTATTTTTAGTAGAGATGGGTTTCACCGTGTTAGCCAAGATGGTCTCGATCTGCTGACGTCATGATCCGCCCACCTCGGCCTCCCAAAGTGCTAGGATTACAGGTGTGAGCCACTGAGCCTGGCCTCTTGTGGTTTTTAAGAATATGAAGCATATCTATTTTGCCTACAAGTTGGAAGTTCCAATACTACAGGAAGCATAAGAGCAGGTTATAATGATGGGTCTTTTATAAGACTGAATTCACATCAAACTGAATCAGTAACTCCACTGTATGAACAGGGTGAGACATTAAACATTTAATGAAAAGAATTCCTTTCTTAGGTCACAGCAAGGACTAGATATATCTAATTATGCCCAGTAAGATGTATTGTGATATTCACAGTTAATCACTCATTTAATTCAAAGGGTATTTATTAATCGTCTGCTCTGGGCATAACATCAATCAAAAGCAATGTGTTCACATGGAAAAAAAGACTTACCTGAGTTGGCTGGGCACAGTGGCTCATGCCTGTAATCCCAGCACTTTGGGAGGCTGAGGCGGGTGGATCACCTGAGATCGGGAGTTTGAGACCAGCCTGACCAACATGGAGAAACTCCATCTCTACTAAAAATACAAAATTAGCTGGGCGTGGTGGTGCATGCTTGTAATCCCAGCTACTCAGGAGGCTGAGGCAGGAGAATCGCTTGAACTTGAGAGGAGGAGGTTGCAGTGAGCCGAGATTGTGCCACTGCACTCCAGCCTGGGCAACAAGAGTGAAACTCCATCTCAAAAAAACAAAAACAAAAACAAAACTTGCCTGAGGCTCTAAGTCAACTTTCCACAACCAGCACACATTTCTAATTTGAAATACATATCTAAAGCTTTGAATGCATAAATAGCTATCCCAATCTAGAACTAAGTCAATAGTTGCTTTGAATTGTTTAAATTATCCTGGGAATCGGAAAGATATGTCTACATGAAACAATAAAGGTTATATTAGAATTAGTAAACTTTAGAAGACTATTTTAATCTTAATATATAAACATACTACCTAGGCACACTGCTTAAATATATCTGCAACATAGTATTTTTAGATTTAAGTAAATCATTAAACTTTAAAGTTGGAAAAGATTCCAGTGTCAGAGCTCTAGACTGTAAATCCTGAATGGTTTTCTAAAATTTTTGAGTTTTTATCTGGAAATACAGATTTTCCATGTCTCTAACAACTGCAAGAAATTTCACTTGGAGTCTGCGCATAGTCAACTATGTGACGGCAACATCAGTGTAATAGATACTATCACAAACATCCTGTGACTTTTATATGTATGTTTTAAAATACTTCCAGTTCTGGGATACATGTGCAGAATGTGCAGGTTTGTTACATAGGTACACACGTGCCATGGTGGTTTGTTGCACCCATCAGCCCATCATCTAAATTAGGCATTTCTCCTAATGCTATCCCTCCCCTAGACCCGAACCCCACAACAGGCCCTGGTGTGTGATGTTCCCCTCCCTGTGTCCATTTCACTACCCAAATTAGGCATTTTCCAATGCTATCCTCCCCTAGACCTAAACCCACAACAGGCCCTGGTGTGTGATGTCTCTCCCTGTGTCCATTTCTTCATTGTTCATCTTCCACTTATGAGTGAGAACGTGTGGTGTTTGGTTTTCTGTTCCTGTGTTGGTTTACTGAGGATGATGGTTTCAAGCCTCATCCACGTGCCTGCAAAGGCCATGAACTCATTGTTTTCCATGGCTCCATAGTATTCCATGGTGTATATGTGCCACAGTTTCTTTATGCAGTCCCCAGCTAACTTCTGTATTTTTAGTAGAGATAGGGTTTCACCATGTTGGCCTGGCCGGCCTCAAACTCCTGGCCTCAAGAGATTTACCCACCTTGGCCTCCCAAAGTGCTGGGATTACAGGCGTGAGCCACCACGCCCAGCTGAGGTCAAGTTTTGGAGTTTTATCTTGTTCTTTTATTGGGCCTTGTTTCTCTGTTTGTGCCTTGTAACTTTTTTTTTAACCGAGATTTGAATATCTAAAAAATGAATACCTCTTACAGTCTTTGCATACTGGCTTTATGCAGAGGAAGACCTTCACCAATCGCCTCGCTGGAGTTCTAAAACTTCTTGAACCTGTTTTGATCCTTTGCTCTTCCTGGCATCTGGCCGCAGAACTGCGGCTCTAGTGTGCTTCTTCCCTCTGTTTTTAGTGGCTTCCAAAATTCTGGCGCTAATCCCATCAGTGCTTTGAGTCAGGTGAAACAGAAAGCAGCCCCCTGGGCAGCCCCCACACGAGTCCAAATGTTAGGTGAAAGATCAGCTCTTTTGTTTCTGTTCCAAGGGGAGAGCTTGAGTGTGAAGAATTTTCTCCTGATTGCTCTGTACTGTACGGCATAGGGGAGCAGCACTAATGGACACACCAAATGCTGTGAATTGTCCTTCCCTTTTCACTGAAATCTTCTTGGTTTTACAATGGCCTAGGTGCTCTAATTTCTCAGCCTGTTTATAGGATTCTCACAGAGGTATTCTGGTCGGTATATTGTTGTAACTTGGTGTCTCTGTGAGGAAAGAAGGGGCTGTAGCTTTCTAGTCCGTCGTCTATTGACATCTTACTATACAATATTTACTTACTTACTTAATTTATTTATTTTTGAGACAGGGTCTCCAGACACTGAGGTTTCCCAGACTGAAGTGACACAATCTTGGCTCACTGCAGCCTCCACCTCCCAGGCTCAGGTGATTCTACCTCCTCAGCCTCCTGAGTAGCTGGGACTACAGTCACATGCCACCATACCTGGCCAATTTTTTTTGTATTTTTTTCTTTTATTGGAGACAGGGTTTCACCATGTTGCCCAGGCTGCTCTAGAATTACTGCACTCAAGCAATCTGCCTACCTCAAACTTCCAAAGTGCTGGGATTACAGGTGTGAGTCACCGTGCCCTGCCCCATGCAATTTTTAAATTTATGAGTTTTCAGATATTATCTAATGACTTCCTATTATGGTGAATGAAGATTTTTTTTTTTAGATGGAGTTTTGCTCTGGTTGCCCAGGCTGGAATGTAGTGATGTGATGTCGGCTCACTGCAACCTCCGCCTCCTGGTTTCAAGTGATTCTCCTGTCTCAGCCTCCCGAGTAGCTGGGACTACAGGCACCTGCCACCGCACCCTGCTAATTTTGTATTTTTAGTAGAGACGGGGTTTCACCATGTTGGCCAGGCTGTTCTCGAACTCCTGACCTTCTGATCCTCCCGCCTGAACCTCCCAATGTGCTGGGATCACAGGCATGAGCCACTATGCCTGGCCCTGAACATTTTTTAAAATCTAAATTTTACCCGTTTCTCATACTCTTTGTTTTCCCAAATTGTTGGGACAAGCCCCCAAATCTGGCCATAAACAAAATCTCTGCAGCACTGTGACATGCTCATGATGGCCAGAATTAGTTCCATATTGGTGGAACACACAGTCAGCAGAGGTTTGAGAAGGGAGAATTTAGTCAACTGAGAAGTTCCCATGAAAGGAGCAAGAGCAAGATCACAGAGACACCATGAAACAAAAAGCCAGGAGTAACTTCCAACCCAAGAGGAGAACAGAGA